TGCCATTCACAGTTCAGACCAAACAAGGGGATGCCTAGCAAACCAAAGTGAAAAGGAAGGTTAAATTTCAAATGCAGGAACAGAAGATTTTAGATGTTGGGTTGCAGGATAGAATACAGGAGGACCAATCAACTTTGAATTTTGGATAAACGACAGACGATTTTTTCATATAAATACACCCTACGCAATAGCTGGGACATATTTATATAAAAATATTATTTGTCGTTTATTTGAAATTCAAAATTAACTGAGTTATTTGCCAAATCTATTTAGATGTGACATCTGAGTTGAAAGTGCCAAGCCCGGAGCCTGGGCCCTAAGGAGCCCGGAGTCATCTGTAGCTCTCTGGGTTTTACCAGCTGGCCTGGGCATCCCCAACAATTGCCAGTGATGAGCTGACGGACAGACTGACAGAAGGCTGTGTAGTAGAGCAAGTCTCTCTTTCTAACCCCACACTCCCCTGGGTACCCGCTGCCTAGAATCCGGGTCTGAAGAGTTTGGGCCAGTCTGTTTGCTTCATTTCCTCCACTAAGGTGCCATGCATTCTATTGTTTTCCCTTAGGCACCTTGATTCAAAGCAAATAGTTTGATCGTTTTGCAAAAATTAACCAACACGGGATTATTTAATAGTTAATGGACTTGCTGATGTTAAACTGTATGTTTTGCTCGGGCTCCAGGGAGCACAGGTGGGTTCCTGCCCTGCCCTCGGCCCAGCTTTAGAATAGGGCTGAAGGAGGGGAGAAGATCTGGACACTGCAGGATGAAATCCTCACTGCGTGTTGATTGTAGATGAGAAGTGAGGGTCTCTCCACTGGAGCTCACAGTGGGACCGCAGAGCCCCAGGAGACGGTGCAACAGCTCAGCGCTCTGCTTCTTTCTGGAACCCAAGGCCGAGGCTGGCACCACTGCCTGGAACAGAGGCCTCACCTAGAGCCTCCTGCCATTCGAGTCCTCTTGGTAGAAACTCTTTGCGTTGAACCCCTGGCTGCTGACTTGAGGAGTCTGGGCCTGTGGGAAGTTAGCCCAGGCGCCAGCTCCGAAGCACGTGGGAGCTAACCCGCAGCAGCCAGATGTGTGTGTTGAATGCAGAGTTTGCCCTGCCACTTCCGACTTAGGGTCCCAGAGCCACCCTTTGGGAGATCATTTGACTGCTCCTGTCTCCTTTTCCTCATGCCAACCTTCAAACCTGAGGAAATTATCACCGTTTTAACCCCTGCCTGAGGCTGAGCAGAGCTCATAAAAAATGGCCAGGACACAAATCTTAGATGCGGCCTGCTCTACATATTCAAAATAAATAGATAAACGAATTCTGCCTTGCTCCTTCGTGTAGATAAGGTGAATTTGGTTAACCAAGAACTAGGTCTTGGGGAAGGGGCTATGGCTAAGGGGAAGACATATTTTTTGGGGTCTGGGGGTGGACGGTGAGGACTCCAATAGATAGCACCCCTCCTGCCCAGAACCGAAATACGCTGAGAAATAAAGAGTAATAATGGAGGCTGGAGGATGGAACTTGAAGGGCACAGCTCAGTGCGATGGCCCGAGAACATGGGGACAAAACCCACAGCAGCGGGGGGCAGGGCGGGTGTGGCATCTATTTTGCGGAGAGAGAGGGGTGCAAGTTCTCTCTCAGGCAGCTCCTGCCAAGAGACAGAGAGAGCGAAGCTGAGCGGGAAGGCCCAGCAGCTCCC